TGCCGATTGGGGGGCGTGGCACCGGTCGTCCACTTGAAATGAGTGGCGTGTCGTGTCGGTTTTCGGGGTAGCGTGCCGCAGCGATGGCTACTCCAGGATCGTTGCAGCGGCAACATGTTTACGGCGGTGCGTGCAGCACGTTGATGCATGTTTATTTTCGATTGTTGCCGCTGTTGCAGCAGCAGCATCACACACACATCGGCATTGTATATATGTATATGTATATATGCGACATGAACGGGTTATAAAATCTGTCGCTTTTTTCGCTACTTTTCTTTCGGGCACCCACAATAAACAGACGTGTTTTTCATAATGCATTTTTAATAAAGTCTGCACGGATTTCCAGCTTTTTTATCGACTTATTTTTACCTTTCACTCATTTTAAAATTCATTTCATTTTTGTTTTCGTTTTGTTTCTCGTTTTGGTCCTTCATTTCAGTGCTACAACGTATCTCGAATTTATTTATAAACAATCGGCTGGCCCCATTGATTCGTGTAATATACACCGCTGAAAAACCCATGAAATATACTAAAGAAACACACCGAATGAGAACAACGAATATTATTTAAAGCCATTTCCGATTTATGACTGACTTTCATATTTTTTCCGACTTTGAGCTGTGTATAAAGCCTTACATGAATTTTGTATATGTTTGTTTTCATAAAAAAGGCATGAAAACAAGCATTTCGAACGGATTGACAGGCGGACATGGCTATGGAAAGCTCTTTTTGATATTAACTAACAACATATAATGTGTTCAGGCCAGATATAAAAAGCCGATTTCGTTTATTAAATTAAAAATAATGCAAAATAAGTTGAATTTTCATAAAATACCTAAGTTCCTTCTGAGAATATAGTTCGAAGACGGTAAATTGGAGAACGTACTTAACAAATGATATGGCAGGTGGAATTAAGCAAAAGAAATAAACAATGAAAAAAAAAAAAAAGAGTGAGTAATATCTCATAGCATTTTCCCATCATTATATGTATACGAATTTTAAATAAGAGGCTTAAGCTCAGATCAGGATAAAGTCTAGTGAGATATAAAGACATGCATATACTAATATAATATATAAGTTCAATAAAAATACAAATATATTTAATAAAAATTAATTATATTAATTTTTCTGCTTTTTTTCTAAAGATATTTGATGTTATACATTTGAATTATTCTGAAATCAAACTTCATACTTTTTGTTGCATTGTAAATCCTAAGTATACCAGACAATTATAGTTTCTGCTCAGTTATAGAAACCCCTTTTTGCACTGCTTACGATTCTAAATTAAACACAAAGAAACCATTTTAATTTACTTAAAAGCTTTCGTCTAACAACTCACCTTTTATCATCCACAGTTACGTTCGCCTTGGCCAAGTCTGTCTCGTCCTTAAAGGGTTAGGGCAGGCCTGACTTGCAATTCAGATTCAGCAAGGTAGAAACTTTTGAAAAACTTTTATTGCCGTCAAAATCAGCTGGCCTATGCAATTAAAGCATCAACAATGAATAAATAATGAATGCTTGGGAATTAACATTTTCTCATACTCACACACACACACTTTTCTAATAATCTAAATTTTGTATGAATTTTTGTCTTATTAATTGTTTGAGAGAGCAGAAATTGTCTTCACTAATCACTATAATCACTTTATTAAAAACTGACTTAAAAAGTAAATACATTTCAGCAAATATATTCATATAAATAATGACAAAATGTCCATCTAGTTGGAGCTATAATTTATATTATTAAAAACGCCTGTAATGAAACGTAAATTTGTGGGTATTTCTCTAATGAGTTTCATGCGCCAAAGCATTGGTATTGGATATCAATGTAAGCCATCGCCTACTGACAGCCACGCCCCACTAAATGCTACACCGCAGACCGGCTTGCCTTGGGCATTTGCGGGCCGACCTTTGACTGGCGCGCAAATAATACACAGTTGCCACAGTCACCGGCACGCCCCCTGCCACCCCGCAGCCACGCCCAAGTCTTGGGAAAAGGCACATTAATAATTTTCGCCAGCTATTTGCTTACCTATATCGGTGGGCAAGTCATTATTCATGGCCTGCCAGCCAACTAATGATTATGAACAGACTCAAAAATGCGAATGAATATGGCGATAGTTGGTAGAGGTAGAGCAGGAGCAGGAGCAGCAGTAGAAGCAGCTAGAGGCTGTTCATGCAGAAAATTATATGCATAAAACAAGTGATTATGCTGTCGAGAGCGCTTGCCATTATTAGGACTGTAAAAATGGCATAAAAATGGCAGAACAAGCGACAAAAGCTTCGTCGAGTAGAAAAATTACAAGTCAACAAAAACAACATTTCTAAGCGAGACTAATCCGGCCAAAAAATACCCCGTAAAGTGCTCGAAAGTGAACTTTTCGTTCAGCAAAATCTACATTAATCGAAACGAAGGTATATTGAACAATATTATTTCTAATATAAGAATATCCATTAGATTTATTTTAATATTCAAATTGATTATTTTATATTTAAATATAATAAAATTACATATTTTTCTTTTCATTTTCAGCTACTATTTCATTTACAAAACTATCCCCATGTCTATCATACCCGTTGCAATGCATTTCGACTTAGTACAGGGTGTGCCCAGCCCAGCGAATGCCGCTAAACAGCCTTCAACAATAAGTGCAAGTCAAGCATGGGACTTGGACTTAGGAGGACTACGTTGACTCGGCTGGTAGGCTGTAAGGGAGGGCGGGCAGGCGGGCAGGCGGGCAGTGTAAGCAGCCCGTCAGGCAGTTAAGCAGGTGCACAAACTGGGCGTGGCTTTAACATCCGCTTAATGGCAAAAGATTTTTGCATGCGGCGAGCAAGCGCTTTAATAATGTAACCTCAAAATGTGGGTCAGTCGTCGCTTTATGGAAAGTCATTTCGATGTTGAACCGAGCTGGCGAAAAAGTCGCGCTCTGGCAATTATAACCCGACCATATGTTGCAGCCTCGACTAAGAGCTTGTGGCAGCTGCAGGTGCATTTGCCACTCAGACTCGACTTCCCCTTATTTTATGTATTTTTTGTGTATTTTTTTTTTTCGCTTTCTGCGGGCTGGGGCTGTAACTCGTTAATGTGTTGCACTTAAAATTTATATCATGAAATGGTACAGCAGACAGCTTTAACTTGTTACTTATGTATATAAAAAATATATATATATATACATATAATTTTTTTAGCTGCTGCAGGGGGGGGGCTGCCTTAAGTGCTCAACAGCAGCCACAGGACTTCACACGCCGGTAATGTGAGCATAGCCCACTGCATAGCTGCGGTTAGCCACCACAGGTGCCATTTATAATTCAGCCACAATTTTAATTATGTTGGTAAGACGCGAACAGCACTAGCCGAGGTAGCAATAACAGCTCCAGCTCCAGCTCCAGCTCCAGCTACAGCTGACAATATTTGCGGTCAGACTGGGCGTATGCGTAATGTTAAAGCTCAATATTAAATGCAGAGCAAGCAGTTGGCTCTTTGATTGAGTGTCGCAAAAGCGCTTAACTTTGGCTCACGTTCGGTTTTAATGCCAGGTATGCTGCTGATTTGAGCTGGTGTCAAGCGGCTTAGTGCAGGGCATTAGCATTTACATGGCTCCTGAGTGCCCACTAATGGATAGGTGGCAGCTGAAGAGATCATAGCTGACGTCGGGCTCAAATTGAAAAGCAGCTTAGTGTTTTTTCTTCATCTTCATCTTCCTTTTCTGCAGTGTCTCATGCGAATGCTGAATATGAAATGTGGCTGAACGACATGCAGCAGACGATGTACTCGTATGAGTCCAAGGAATCGCCATGACATTGGCAAAAAAAGTACATACAAAACTGATAAGTCGGTAAAGTTTCTTCAAAATTTAAATAGTTTTATTTATATAGGTATTACATATTGCTCTCTTGCTCTCCTTGCTTAACTTGCTGAGTCTACTCTTCTGCTCTGGACCTTAGCTCTTTTTCTACTTTACTATATTCTGCTCTCATTGCCTTCTCTTCTTCTTCCCCTTTTCATAAGCATTGTCGCTATTCAATAATAAGAAGCAAAGAGGTCAAAGTCCTGAGCGAAACCATTTCGGCTATTGCCTGTTCCACGTTCCCCTACGCTTGAATCGCCAAAAGCTTTCTATGCTTTCAGCCAATTAGAGCTAAATGCATGCCACTAAAATTTCAACGAAAAACTTTGCTCGTTTCTGCACATCAGTTTTTGTAATATGCCCCATAGCTTATGGCTTTATATGAGCCATAAAACCCGTGGGCTGCTGTCTCGGTTTTGCTTTCATGCCCGTTTTATTGCAGCGCGCCTACAACATAGTTACTCTACGTACAGAATACAAGCCCCAGAAGAAGAAGAAGAAGAAGAAGTAAAAAAGAGTTGTTTTTGGGCCGTCATATGCTAAATTGGAGATCGTTAAAGCCGCATCAAGAAGTGCGCTTTGTTGTTCATTGAAACGCTCTGCAGAGGAGTGGCAGCAAATCCACTTGCATATTATTTTGTTTTTGCCTTGGCGCCAGCTCATTATCATCATAAGTAATCTAAATTCACAGTTATGCCATTGTTGGGCTCTCAGCCGTTCCCCTCGTCCCTTGTATTCGCTCCACTCGAGTGCATTGTAAAGTGCAAAGTTTTATAGTCGACTTTTTGGCAGCGGCAGTAAAACTGAATCGTGCCATGGCGCTGCCTGTTTTTCTGGTCAAGTGTGTTGCACATGAATGGGAATGGCTTTCGACTGCTCTGCTCTAAGCAGTTGGAGAGCTCACACACGCACACACATGCACGCACACACACATACAGACTACTTGTATGCCTGTTTATTGTAATTTACATTTATGGCCCTTGTAATTATAATTGTTTTCCGGCAGGACAACCCGCTGCTTTACACTCTCACACACTCACATACCCGTTGGAATAATAGGCATATAAATTTTACTGAAATCATATTGTTTCACATTTTCCACTGTTATTTAAAGTTTTCTTTCTTTTCTTTTTGTCCTTTTTTTAGGACTTCTCCTCTTTTAAAGCGATAAACTGGACGCGCATTGAGCGGCATTACCATGCGGTAATTTTTTGCAATGGATCTGCCTTTAGAATCTCTAAGTTCCCATAATTTGGAGGCATCTTCTAGTGCTACGTCGACTGGATTTCGAAACACTATCCAAGTGACACCCTCTCGACAATTTGGCGTAGTCAGCGATCCTTCGTATGTGAAATAATCCGTTCGATCCAAGACTGTGAACAGTTGACATAAGCCAAATGGCTCGCTAACCTCAGCCATTTTGTGATATTTTGAGACTTCTGCTAGTGCATCGAAAATAGGCTCAAGGACTGGTTTCGTAGTTGCATTCTAAAAGAGATTCGCTTACACAGGCGTATGAGGAATTTGAACAACAATTGCATCTGACTCACCTCCCTTATGTTGAACAGCACACTCAGAACGGCAATGTCATCCACGCCAAGTGCCCTGTGCACGATATGCAGCTCGAGATCAAAGCGCTTACCATCTATCGTATGCTCCGAGCCTTTCGCGTTTTTCGAGCCCCAGTGGAAATGCAGCTCCGTTGCGTTAAAAGTTCGAGTTAGCAGAGCTCCAGACATGCGAGGGAAATTCCCGTTTTCACTTACTGCCAAGTCCAAGGATACTAGAATCAAAATAATATCCATTGAATAATTCAAGAACGAAGGGAATCCCACTGTAAATGTACCCGTGTATCCTGTATTGTATAATACCGTTTTCTTCAAAGCCAAATTACAATAATTTTGTAATTTCAAATGGTGTTTCTCGTGCAGAGCATCCTAAACGAACAAATAAACCTAATGATAAATATGACACAGTATATAATAAATATATATTCTCTTTTTACCCATTTTGTTAGTAAGTTAATTGGCGATTGATATTTTCCTTTCGAGCAGCTGCCACCCCAATCAAGACCATGCTGAGCGTGATCCCATTCGACTTCTAAATATGATTAAAACATTTGTTTTATATATGCTAATATTCAATTAAAAATATCCAACAGAAAGATACCCAGCTTAGGATCCGCATAGCTACAGCTGATGGTTATTAGGAGAATAATTATCGTGGTGAGCATTGTAAATACTTTCTTTTCATATAATATATCTTCAAAGTCGCGCCGATAGATCTTTACACAATGACAGCCAAACTCATACAAAACGTTTTTCTTAAACTTTTTAGTCACGACTCAAACAAAATATTGCACAACTATTGATTAGTTACAGATTAAGATAGAGTAACTAAGTAAATTAGTTACGTAATACAAATGATAAATAAAATAATAATGCAATTTATATGCAGGTCAGAGATTGTGAAAAGAAAATTAAAGCGTTTAAATAGTATTTGAAATATAATTTTTGTTTGTAAAATAAATATGGAACTAAATCTTACATCTGTAATTATACATTTATAAGCGAAACTTGTTACAGACTTAAAATTCTGTGCATAATTCGTACATCTATAATCGATATAAGCAAGAGTGAAGAAGAATCCAAGCTAAGGTCATTTAGTAGTAAATTCATAATGATAATAAAAATATGCATGCATATGTATAGGTATATGTATATGTATTTGTCTCAGACTAATTTTACATGTGTTTCTGTGCAAGTAATATGAATTGAATTGAGAAATATTCTTCGCCCTTTTCTTCATTATTTATTCATTTAAGTTACTTAGATGTCAAAACGTTTGCTAGCGTAACGAACTTGACAATATTTTTGTTTTATTTCATGGCTCAAAAGCCGCTCTCAAGGCCTAATGCTTGTGGAGCTCAATTCGAAAAGTAATATATTATTGCATTGTGGCCAACATGTCAGCAGTTTGTGCAGCAGTCGATTAATTTTTCAGTAGCCTACATAGCAAATGCCTGTTTTTATTATAAACGAATAGCCAATTGTGATTGCTTTGCCAAGCACTTCGAGCTGCATCAAAGAAATGCAAATAAATATAGATTTAAAAACTAATTGCAGTTGACTGCCAATTGAAGTTAGCTTGCATTTGTTATGGTTTACATTATTCTTCTTCTTTTTTTTCAATCACCACAACGATTTGACATGGCAAAGCAAATATTTGAGAGATGAATGAATCGGAAAGACAAGCTCAACAATTCAGGCAATAAAGTCATGAAATGAACACGCATGCAAGTCAGTGAAATGGCAAACAAGTCTTAGAGCTCAGAGCAGGAGAAAAACACCGAGACTTAGATTGGCAAACACTTTGAATTTACCTGGAAAGTTTTGATTGGCAATGTAATAAAATACTTTGAGATATTATCCAGATTGAATTATACTAGTTGAAGAAAGACACTTGACTTTGAGGGTGTTTGTGTTAATCTTTATACCTAGACTCTAGCATATTTTCATCCCTTATATATATAGGGAATATAAGCTATTGTTCTACATATTTTAATTAATTATTATATTGACAAATTTGCCCATTATGCTCTACTCTCTCGCAGCTTCTCGCTGGCCTTCTCTCCCTCTCCCTCTCCACCTCAGTCCACATTTCTATCCATTCAGATGACTCTTTTAAGCCCGCCCTGGCCACGTCTCATCGCCTACTTAAGGTCTTATAATACATTACTTTATTGAATCATGTTTCATGGCGAAAACTTCTTCGGTTTGTTTTGCAAATTTCAATAAATTGCGGACAAACAATGCTTAAAGAGCTTAAATTCTTAAATCAACACAATGTTCATCATCAAATGCTATGCTAAACTCTCAAATTGTTTTCAACTTAATTTTCAAAGTGTCTTATCCAGCTTAACCAGGACAAACAAATTTTCGTGCTGCACGAAAATTTTACAATTTACATTCGCTGAATGACAGACATGAATAAGGTGTAGCGCCGATAGATAACCAACACACACACCAACACGCTGGCATTGTGCAAGTTTCATCTGACAATTGTCGTTTGGCCATCATTTTAGTCACATTCAATATTTGTCAGATGCGACTAACTCAAACGTTTTATGTCACTCGATTCTCTGTAAATTTACATCAAATTCATTTGATATTCATGGTCCGACTGCTTTGCAGCTTTTGTGCATTGTTAAATTCTATTTACCGCCCAGACCGTTGTTGTTCTTGTTGTTGCTGTTGTTGTTGTATTTACATTGCCGTTGCCGAGACTCTATTCAGCCGTTGAGCCAGGAGCCAATGCACAAAAGAACACGAGAGCAGCTAAACTGATATATAAGTTAAATGTATGAAAACACAAATGTTTGCTTAGTTTTAGCGTTAATGGAAATTTCATGCAGTCCAATAAATCTCTAGATAAATGTCACAAATTGCAGTTAAATAAATTTAACTTAAATCCATGTTTTTAACAGTTGCACTAACAATTATTTACGTAGCTCCAAATATATATTTGTTACTTGGCCTAGTCGCATTAAATAACATGTACTTTTTCCATACATCAGAGATTTATTTGATTCACATTTAATATTAGTATGGGATTAATTTGAAGAGCTGCTTTAGCATTATCATACGAAAGAGGAACGAAGTTAAAGAGAGATTATAAAAATGCAGAGCAATGAATACTATGAGGATTTGATGGATTGTGGGAGAAATGTAGGTATATTTAGAGAGAGAGAGAGACAGCAATTGTTGTTGGCAAATGAACCCAAAGTTCCACTAATGCAGAGCCGATGCAAGAGACTCTCTTTTTGTCTCTGAGACAACACGGGAGAGAGATTCTCAAGTGTCTGCATCCCCATGTATATGAATCTCCCCTATACCTAACATATATGTATATTTAATATATTATCTCATTATAGATTGTGATACACATTTTAAATTTTCCGCAAAAAGAATTTGTATTTTATATATACATACTTTATATTCTTATTTATTCATAATTTATATTCTTAAATTATATTCGTTCACCAGGTTGAAAAAGTTCAACAGATTTACTTTAACATTCAATTGAGGCATTCTCTTAATAGTAAGCCTATACATATATGGAAATATAATACCCATATATCCGATATTTTACTGTCATATAAAGCGAATCCCCTTCGTTCTCTGGTTCACATAAATTTGCTTATTAATTGGCCATATTTGTTGGCTGAGCTGAAATCTCTGGTGTGACATTAAGGTAGTCTACATAATTATTATTTCAATGCCACGCCCATGGAGCGCAGGTGCGCCCACTTCCCTACTCCCATAAGTGCACTGCATGTTCATGAAAAATAAGACACGAATAACTTATTTTCAATACAATTCGCGCGGAGCTGGGGAAATGTTAAGCTTAATTTAATTGCCACAACAAAAGGCCAAAAGGCGCCACAATGTGGCCCGAGGCAGAAGTGGAGCCAAGGCACAGACAAACGCGCGCACGCTTGTAGTTATTTGTCATTATTCACACACGCACACACGCACACCCACCCACCCGCATACATTGACATTATTATTGTTTCGCACATTTGTCGTTGTTATTGTTGCTCTTGTACGGGATATATGTTTATGTAGTACTTAACCCCTCCGTAGATTGGCCAGACATTTCATGTTTGTGTGTGGCATACATGTTAATAATTGTACGTATTTACAAACACACACACGCATACACACACACACACCGACACACACACAACGCCCACACTCACACGCAATGGCAATTATTATTGAGCCGCATTTTTGGCGTTTGGCTGGCTTAAACGTAACCACACATTTGGGGAAATTATTGTTAATATGCAGCTGCGCTCCGGCGTCAATACATTCAGTTTTCAGCCACCACCACAAAGCGGCGCTTTCATTCCATTCCTGGCCATGAATTTGATTTGCTATGCCATCTGGCATTTAATGAGTATTAAAGTACTTTTGCATCAGCCGCAATACACGAATCGCTTCTGAGCATCGTCTGAATGAGCTAATGAAAAATATTGCTGAATATTCCATTATCAGTATTCTTAATGTTTTTTAATTCAGTGGAGATATCACAAATAATGTGTATATATCATGCATACATATATGGGGCTTTATATATCCAGGCTGTTGCTTTACAAAAGCTTTCATCAATGAATTGTGTACAGATTTATCGCCAACAACTGAAATTAATAAGGTTGTTTTTTCTAGCGCTATATTTTTTGAACTGATATGAGCTTTACATTTTTTTTTTAACATTTTAACACCAAATTAATTAACATAAAAATCATTTTAAGTCACACCATTGTAAAATAAGGGGAAACGCGATCAGGAATCAATTTATTTACCATATATTTAAGAGGAAATACATTCTTCCGTGACGCTTATATACTTGTTGAATATCTCGTTTCCAATGTCTTTCACTTTAAATTATTAAATATGTTCTGTTTATATTTGTCCAATTAACAAATTTTAAAATAAATCTAATAAAGACTGCCCGACTAGAAGATACTCTTCCCTGCTATATATATATCTAGGCTTTACTGTGAGAATTTAATAATTTTCTTCTAGGAAAATCAAATTTTCACTTATTTAAATCTTTTACGGCTATTCAGCTAATGACGTTAGCTTACATGTAAGAAAATTGAATGGCTTGTGATTTGGATGTGCTATTGCCCTAATCAAGAATATATATACCTTATGCTATCTGTCACGCAATCATTATACCCAGAACTAACATTTTAATTGGGTTCAGGGTAGAAAAACATGCAGCAACGCTTGAAAACTGCAAATAATTCAACTTAAAAATGAAATCAGCTTATGTTCAATGGGCTTTGTTATTACAATTGAAATATCAAAAGATAATTAACATAATAAAATTGTAGCCAACACAGTCCGCCCACACACACAGGCGCACTTGCGCACCGAGTTAGGGAAATGCAGGCGCCCAAAGCCAGCGAAAATAATAAAAGGCAATATGGAACTTGAAAATAGCGCAGCGAGCAAAATTTATTACCGCCAGCACACATACAGCAATTGCATAAAGTACTAACTCTCACACACAGATAGATGCACACGCACATAGTCACAGTTACAGTGACTGTTACAGTTACAGTTACATGGGCTCACATTAGCGTTTCGCTATCAATTGCAGAGCATTTTGCATAAAGCTCCCCACTCACCAGCTCTGCCTGAAACACTTTGGCACAAATTTGAATTTTATTTGCTACTTCCGTCCT